ATTCTGTTATTTCCTTGACAGTGGCATTCCTGTTTGAGGTGCAGTGATGTTTAAGAGCCCAGAGATCACGAGCATCCAGTAGAGTTTTACGGCCTTGACCCTTACGCACAGCAATTGTTCCAGATTCTCTGAATCTTTTGATGATGTTATGCATGGTTGATGATGATAACTTAAAAGTCTTTGCTATTTTACGCTGGAACACCATTCTGGTATTGCTGCACTATCTTTCTGCGCAACAATGGTAGAATTGGTGATCCTCTTACCATCTTGGTTTCTGAGAGACACTGACACTCTGAGAAGCTCTTTTTATACCCAATCATGTTGTCAATTAACCTAATTAGTGTTAATTGGTCTTCCAGCTGTTCGTTATGCTCAATTTCCTTTTGCCAGCCACTTATTGCTACTTGTCCCAACTTTTTTGGAATTTGTTGACACTGTGAAATTTTGAATCAACATATTTTTCCTTTAAAATGTTACATTTACTCAGATTAAACTTTTGATCTGTCATCTATGTTATATTACGAATAAAATATTAACATTTGCCATCTCTACATCATTGCATTCAGTTTTTATTCACAATTTGTTTAGTGTCCCAACTTTTTTGGAATCTGGTTTGTATTACAAAAAATAAAAAAAAACTAATTTTGATTTCTGGATTTTTTTTTTTTTTTAGATTATGTCTCTGACAGTGGACATGCACCTCAGATGAAAATTTCAGACCCTTCCATGATTTCTAAGTGGGAGAACTTGCAAAGTTGCAGGGTGTTCAAATACTTACATTCCAGAGACCCTGCAAATTAGTAGCAGCGTTATATTTATTTTATTATTTATATTAAGGCTTTATAAACCCTTCGCCCACTCCTACAAACCTTTCCCACACTCATATTAATCTTTTCCTGTAATAAATTTAGGAGAGGACCCGAAAACTTAATGAAACACAGAGCGCGTTCAATAAGTTTTATTGTTGCGGTTTTATTTTTATTTTTGGGAGTCAGCACACATCGGTGGATACGTACTGGAAGGTTTTGCAAGATGAAACGGTTACGTACTGTAACCCCAGATTCTATGAGTATAGGCGTAGCCCTTTAAGAATGTCACTTGTGGGTTTATCCCTAGGCGCTCAGCGCAGCACTGAAAACTTTAGTCCACGCCCACCTGCTGTTAGTGGGCCTCACCCCCGGTCCGTATAAATTACGGTGAAACCAGGTAATTGGCTCCCAAATAGCTTTTGTCTTCAGCCATTTACGAACCAGTGAGGCCCAGAGCTTAAAGGGCTGTGCTTATACTCAAAGAATCTGGGGTTACAGTACGTAACCAACGTTCTATTTCATATAGGCTTCACCCTTTAAGACTGTCGATAGTGGGTTAAAGGCGAAGCAGGATGTAGTCTATGCCTCACTGGGTCCATTCAGACAGAAGCACCTGCTTGCACAAAAAAACATTTCATCACTCAGCCTTCTGTGTGCGTAATTACTCGCTGCGTAATTGCGTACTTCATGCGCAGGAGCGCACCGGAGAAAACATCTCTGGTGAGGAAAAATTAAAGGTTGAGATAGCAGACCTGCTGCTGTGATAGGAACAACGGAGGATACGAATTGTAACAGTGTAACAACAAACAGAGCAGACCAACAGCTCCTCAGGATGAACCAGTTAATAACAATAAAATCAGCAGTCATGAACTTGTGACTGATAATAAATATCTCACACTGCGACTGCATGCAGGCAGGTGTGAGCTCAAAAGTGAGGCTCCAAGAAACAAATAATCATTCTGTCAGAACCCTGAGAACAGAATGGGTCATGGAGAAAGTAGAAACATCACGTAGATAAAAATGAATAATTGAACATGGCGATGATCATGCAGCTGCCATACAAATATTCTCCACTGTCATCCCTCCATGCAGAGCCATGGAGGATGAAAACCCTCTGGTGGAATGTGCTGAGATTCTCTGGAGGATCCAGTCCAGATGAACTGTAAACTTTAGAAATAGCCTCACACAACCAGTGTGAGAGGCGCTGGATGGATAGAGGACGTCCTGAAGAGCTGTCCCAGTAATGCATGAACATACGCTGAAAGAGGCGCAGTGTGGCCGTGTGCGCCACGTAACATGAAAAATGCACGCATGGGACAGAAGGAGGTGAGATGTTGCTTCCTCCTCAGAATTATGAGGAAGAGGATAAAACCCATCCAAGCTTATCACTCTTGATGTGAATGAGCTTGTGATGTTTTTCAGAGCAGGGTTAAAAAGCAGTACAGCTGAACTGCCGTCAGCTTGAATTCTGAGACATGAGGGAGTAACAGAGAGAGCAAACAAACACTCACTCTTTTTGCCAACGTCAGAAACCAACAGCAGGGCTGTTTTAATGACAGAATTTAAGTGAAACCTGATCTAAAAACTCAGAATGAGCTTTGATGAGTGTGCAGGACCATCATTAGGTCTCACTGTGAAGCTAGTGGACGTGACACCGGTCTGTGTCCCCGTACACCTTTCAGGAAACGCTTCATCAACGGGTGATTAAGAACTGTTTTGTCACCGAAGCCCTCGTGACAGGAAGAAATAGCTGCAGCATAAGTTTTAATTGTGTTGAACGCTAGAACTCTGTCCATCAGCTGCTGCAGAAAAGACAGCATGTCCCCTAGTGGCCATGAGATGGCTTCCACACCTTTCAGCTTGTCTGCTGGATTCCATAGATAGAGAACTTTAATAATTGGCTTTTATGTATGTGGATGTTTCTGTAAAGTGCCCTGAGACAACTTTGTTGTGATTTGGCGCTATATAAATAAACTGAATTGAATTGAATTGGTGGAAGCAGCTCATGCTCCCTGAACGTATGCACCACATCCAGTGGGAGGCACATCTTTTCTAAACGGATCTGTTCAGCGGACAGACCCAAAGATGCTGACCTATTTCTGGGTAACTCCTTATCGCTTTTCCTGCCTGGAGGAGAACGCCCCCCCGACAGCAGTTTCCACAGCCGAACCGATATCAGTTACTGCAGATTCGGGAGCCACAGAGCGCATATGTGTTCAGGAGCTACGAGGATGACTGGCGGTTCTTTCCCCCGGACCTGGTCCAGGGTCCGTGATATCGGCAGTACTGTAGGAAACGCAAAAACGCATAAGGAGGCTCCGTGGACAAATTCCTGTCAACCCGACGGCGGTGCTTGAGTGCCTGACTGCAGAGATTCTGGAGCTGGTGGAGAACTCGACTCGTGACATCTGGAGGACCGGGATCTTCTCCCGGCACCTTCAGCTGTCTGTCTGTGGCAACGAGGAGCTCTGCAGACTGCTGGGAGGAGTGACCATCGCTCAGGATGGGATTCTGCCCAGCATTTGGGCAGTCCTGCTGCCCAGGAGGACCGAGAGGCCCGCCGGATCTGACAGCAAGCTGGATACGGGTGGACGGATCGTATCTGGCCAGATCCTTCAGATTCGCTGTAGGAGATCCTTCCTTCCCACAGCTATCAGCATCTAACAACTCTTGAATGAAACCAGGATGATGAGCTACGACACTTAATTTCCCTCTGGGATTAATAAAGTATTTTTGAATTGAATTGAATAAAGTAGCATTTTTGGCCAAGGGCTGTGAGCGAAGGCGTCCACTCCTAACGGTGGGTCGTCTCGTGGGCTCAGTGAGAACCATAATTGACACTAGGGCATTAACAGAGTACTCGAGTAATCTACACATCGATTGCTAGGACATCTATCGAGGTTAAAAATGTAACAGTAACAGTTGCGTAACAGTTGGGCTAAGCGCACGTCTCCCTGACTGTTTATGTAAACTGCCGTCACCTTGTTGTCTGTGTGGATCAGAAAATGCTGATCCCACAGCAGGGGCAAAATGCTGAGTCACGTTTCAGACCGTGAAAAACATTCTAGCACATTAGGTAAAGCGACATGTGGTCCAGCCACTTTGCTCCCACTGCTTGGGAGAGACACATCCCTTCTAGCTTGACAGGAATGTGTCTGTGAAAAACTGACGTGTGACGTAGGCCTGCTGATGGGAAATCCCTCTGACAGAATGAGGGGGTTTCCCCAGTGATTTAGATCGGTTCTCAAGGAGGGGGGGCACAAAGATAATCCACCTCTTCTGGCGCACAGAATCTATGTGCAGGCGGGCCTTGGAAGGCGTCTCGTGAAGTAGGCCCAGCGGAACCACATGTGGGCCGCTGACATCGTCCCAGGCGTCGCATGACAAGCAGACTGTCATTATGCTGCAGGGTTTGACACGGCGGAGCTGGGTTTGACACGGTGGAGCCGAGCTGACAGAGGTTCGGCTCTCAGCTGTGATAAACGGCTCTCATTGTAGTTGAGTTTAGCTCCACTTCCAGATAAACAATCATCTGGGATGGACAAACGGAAGTTTTTCCCAGTTTATAGAAACCCCAGGTTTAGCAGGTGTAACACTAGCGTTTTGGTCTGTGCAACAGCTTTCTAACTGGACCGAGCTAATAAGAGCAGATCG